GATTAATAAAAAGGTGATATGAACCCCCCCCCCCCCCCCCCCCCCCCCCGTCTTTGATCCAGGTCATCGGTATGGAGGAGGACGTCAGCGTGTACGACATCGCAGATCATCCAGATTTTCACTTCCGCACAACCGACATCGTCATCAGAATATGGAACTCGGAGACCGGCCAGAACGACTGCGAAAACGAGGTGAGAGAAGTAAAACAACGTGCAGTAGAGCCTGAAAACTAAAAGGGGCCGGGGCCAAGTCCAGCACACTGAAACAAGACCTGAACCTCAAAAACCTGATCATTCAAAAGTCTTTAAAACTTTCATTTTGAGTTGTTTTTAATGTTTGATCGTTAACGGCGGCGTCCTCCTCCTCTCAGACGTCCGTGGGTCAGGTGTCCCGGGTGGACGTGAGCAGCAAAGTGGAGGTGGTGTGGGCGGATAACTCCATGACCATCGTCCTGCCGCAGCACCTCTACAACGTGGAGTCTGAGATCGAGGAGACGGACTACGACTCGGTGGAGGAGACGAGCAGCGTGCTGTCCACCGAGGAGTGGAAGGACGAGAGCGACAGCTGGGAGACGGACAACGGCCTCACCACCGAGGAAGACAGCCACGCCGCCATCAACGCCGAGGTCGTCGACGCCACGACCCCGACGCCCACGCCCACCGGATGCTCGTCGTTCATCATCCCGCCTGCAGAGGCCCAAAGTCACCAGCCCAATGAGAGGCGGGGTGAGGAGGAGGGGGAGGGGTCTGTGGCCTGCTGCTAGTCCTGCTTCAGGAGGAGGTGCAAAAGGGGGGGACACTTTCAACAACCAGCACTTTACGTTGTTAAACTTAAGGTCGTTTCTGACATATTTTTTATTTTTTTTAGGAAACTACTCCCGGCACGCGTGAACCGGAGCGGAGAGAAGCCCGCGGTTAAGGACGCGCGCCCTCTCGGGCTTTCAGGGAGTTGAAGGAGGCCTTGAAGATCCTGGAGAGCCTGAAGAACATGACCGTGGAGCAGCTCTGGACCGGGGGCTCTCCGACCTCGCCGACCTCCGCCGAGCCCGCCTCGACGGCTCACGTGGCGCCCTCCTCGGTGACACCGACGGCGCCCGAGAAACCCACCAAGGAGAAGCGCTTCCTGGACGACATCAAGAAGCTGCAGGAGAACCTGAGGAAGACGCTGGACAACGTGGCCATCGTGGAGGAGGAGAAGATGGAGGCGGTGGTGGAGGCCGGGGTCAGCGGAGGGGCGGGGACGGAAGTAGGTGTTACCGTGACGACGACATGGAGGAGGTAGATGATTGGGTCATTACGGCGTCTTACCTGTGTGTGTGTGTGTGTGCGTGGTGTGTGTGTGTTCAGGTAGAGAGAGCTGGAGAGGAGAAGCCTCAGCCCGAGCTGCAGACTCCAGTGGGAGGACCGGAGTGGCCCAGCGAGTTTCTCAGCGACACGCCCGTACTGTGCCAACAGAGCGGCGGGAAACCCGGCGTCACCTTCACCAGCGCCAAGGGAGAGGTGTTCTCTGTGCTGGACTGGGCTCCAGGTGAGACCCCCCCACCCCCCCCCTTCTTCTTCAGACCTTCACTCACTCAGTTTGACCCTCGTTGATTTAAATGTTCACCTCCCACTGTCTGGAGGACTTTAACTTTCTCTACAGTCTGAGGTCAGCGTAAGATGTAAGGACTCGTGTGGCGCCGATGGCCTAGTGGTTAGTTAACCTGCTCCTAGTGCAGAGTCTGTTGTCCTGTGAAGCTGGAGGCTGAGGTTTGAGTCCGACCTGCTCCTCCTTGAGGGTCCCGCAAAAAAAAAAACTGTAAAAGTAAAAATTAATTGTGATTAATAACAATTTTGTAAAACTCATTTACCCTCAGGCATCACTATGGACATTTTTGTCCATTTGGTCAAATGTTTCCTCTTCATCTGGTCATCATTTTGTCTGTTAGTGCATATGGAACACATTTCTGTAAGAAAGACTCTCTTGACACATTTTGGAATGCACATTTTATTTTGTTAATAGATCAATAGAACACTGAAACATGTTTACTACCCTCTGAAGTCACTAAGGACAAAAATGTCAGTATGGAGGCCTTGCTCCTTCAAGCGGGCGTCCAAGGTTCAAATCGTTTCTGACCTGAACCGTGAGCGCAGCGGAGCGTCATGAGAAGCTTTACTCCCAGACACACACACACCATCATGTGATGATTTGTCCTGTCAGCAGAACAAATCAAATGTGAACATTACTATCAACTTCTTCCCTGCTGTCCATCACATCTCTCTCTCTCTCTCTCCCCCTCTCTCTCTCTCTCTCTCTCCCCTCTCTCTCTCTCTCTCTGTCTCTCTCTCTCTGTCTCTCTCTCTCTCTCTGTCTGTCTCTCTCTCTCTCTGTCTCTCTCTCTCTGTCTCTCTCTCTCTCTCTCTCTTTCAGACACACACTCGTTTAAGAAAATGGAGTTCCAGCCGGCCGAGGCGAAGAAGTTTTTCAGCACAGTGAGGAAGGAGATGGCTCTGCTGGCGACGTCTCTGCCCGACGGCATCATGGTCAAAACATTTGAAGACCGCATGGTGGGTGTCACACGATGATAACCTGCAGTTCCTCGAGTGTCCACTAGAGGCTGGCTGCAGACGCACAGGAAGTCACATACACACCCATTCTAAAGAGCAGAGATGAACATGTTTGCTGGTTTTTCTCGGACACAGGACCTGTTCTCGGCTCTGATCAAAGGGCCGACCCGCACGCCCTACGAGGACGGCCTCTTCCTGTTTGACATCCAGCTGCCCAACATCTACCCGTCTGTGCCGCCGCTGTTCCGCTACCTGTCGCAGTGCAGCGGCCGCCTCAACCCCAACCTCTACGACAACGGCAAAGTGTGCGTCAGCCTGCTGGGCACCTGGATCGGCAAGGTGAGCGAAGGCTGTCGTCATGACAACGCTTTATATGTACAGGAGAGGCGACTTCCTGCTGATTTGTTCTTCTGACACACACAGGGCACCGAGAGATGGACCAGCAAGTCCAGCCTGCTGCAAGTCCTTATTTCCATACAAGGTTAGTACACACACACACACACACACACACACACACACACACACACACAACACACACACACACACACACACACACACACCACACACACACACACACACACACACACTGCTCTATTCTCCTTCTCATCCCTGCAGAACAAAATGTTTTATTCATGTGTTCATTTGCTCCGAAGAGCTCAGAGTGCAGCAGTGTCGCACAACTAAATCCACACACACGCGTGCGCACACACACACACACACACACACACACACACACACACACACATACACACACACACACACACACTTTGCATCATTTTGTCAGCTTCCTGTCTGAACGAGCTGCAGGCGTCGCTCCATTTGAAATCAGACTTTTTAGAGAAGATGTGACGCCTTGTTGGGATCATGATTAAATAGCAGGGCTCGACATTATAACTGTCCCGGACGAATGATTGACAGCTGATTTCACAGCGCTTTCCTGTCATACCAGTGCTTGTGTGTCACAGTTGAAGGGCCGCCGACGGCTTCACTGCTCTCCCTCCCACGAGAAAAAACACACATTTGGTGAAACGGTTTTAAAACCATCAGATCCCGACAGAAGCCGAGTTTAAATCAACATTCGAAGAAAACAAATCACCTGAAGAGTGGAGAGCGACAGCAGGACGTGATGAAAACAGAGAAAAGTTTGATCCACAGTGACAGACAGCTGGAGGAGCTGGAACACGTTACAGTTAAAGACTAGATCCTGCTAAAGATCAAAGTTATTCACAAACATGTTAGTCCTTAAGAGAGCTCCTAAAGTAAAGATCTAAAGATGAAGAGTCTCTCACAAAGAAAGAAAGAAGGAGAGATTCCAGATCTATCACAGCCTCATATTAATATCACATTAAGTAGACTCTTACAGCATGGTGAATAAACATGAGCACATAGATATAAGACAAATACACTATGTTTATAATTAGAGCTCAATTCATTAAATAAAAGTTATAATTGAGATATATATATATATAAGATGAGTCAAAAGACCCCAAAGATGAGTATTCTGCTCCTGTTGCTCTTCAAAAGAGAAACTGTGTTCCAGAGCGTTTGCAGAGGGCTGTGGATTCCCTTTTATTTTGACTCCAGTATTGTTTTAGCGTGTCGATGAGATATATATATATATATATATATATATATATATATATAAAATAAAATAAAAAAAGGTAAATTGGTGAGTGTTATTCTTCAAATCTAAAGTAACGTTCCTGTGTCAGTGATCTCTGAAAACTCGGAGGGCCACTGCCAAATTTATCTGAATGTCAACCCCTAAATATTATTACCAACTTATTAAAAATGTCAATCAAGTGAATCTGTCGTCTGATTTGACCTCTGACCCACTGACCCCGCCCCCTCTCGTGTCTCCGCCTCTCTACAGGCCTCATCCTGGTCAACGAGCCGTACTACAACGAGGCGGGCTTCGACAGCGACCGCGGCCTGCAGGAGGGCTACGAGAACAGCCGCTGCTACAACGAGATGGCCCTGATCAAGATGGTCCAGTCCATGACGACCCTCCTGCAGAACCCCGTGGAGTTCTTCAGGCAGGAGATCCAGGAGCACTTCGCCTCTAACGGCTGGCGCCTCGTCCACCGGCTGGACGTCTGGCTCGAGCTGAACGAGGCCGCCGAGAGGAGCCACGCCGCCCACGTGACCTACAGACACTCGAAGGAGCGTCTGGACGAGCCCGTGGCGGTGGCCCACAGCAGCCCCAGCAAGCCCGGGGAGGAGGGCGGGGTCACGGGGGTCAGCAGTATTATCGAGGAAGACCTGGAGGACTCAGGTCTGAGCCCGTCCACTGTGGCGCCGCCGCAGCAGGACCTGAGCCAGAACTCAGACTGCGACAGCACCCAGGGGAGCGCCACGCTGCCCGGCGCTGTGGTCCGCGGCGGGACGTCAGAATCATCAGGTGCGGTCAGCGGTGGAGGGGCGGTCTCGGCGGCGAGCCAGCCCGTGGTGCGACCAAAGAAACGGAGAAAGAGCTACAGGAGCTTCCTCCCCGAGGGCAGCGGCTACCCGGACATCGGCTTCCCGCTCTTCCCGCTCTCTAAGGGTTTCGTGAAGAGCGTGCGAGGCGTGCTGCTGCAATACCGAGCTGCGCTGGCCGCCGCCGGCATCGCCGAGCACATAGAGGACAAGTAAGTGCCTCCTCCTCGCCGCCCCCCCACGACTCAATCTGCACTGCTCCTTTTTCCTCCTCCTTTTTGTACCTTTCCATCGGCCTCCAGCGGTCGAGGAGGATCGTAACGTGTTGTCTGGGGGGGGCAACAACCCCCCCCCCCCCGCCGCCGTCCCCCCGCCCCGCCACCGACCACATGTTTGTCCTTGACCTCCATCTCTCTCAGTCCGTTCTGCTCCTGCCGCCCCAAAAAACTCCACCGTGTTTTTTTCCTCTTCCTGAATCACAGACTGAAGGAGAACAGCTCCTCTGAGCAGGATCAGGATCTGGTTCTGGTTCTGGTTCTGGTTCTGGTTCTGACCATGTCTTTGTTCTCCTTCAGTGAATCTGCAGACGAGTGTGATGCATAAAGAGGGAGGGGGACGCAAGCAGGTAAACACAAAGGAGGTCAAAGGTCAGGACTCTGACAGAGGAGGAGAGATCTTCACCTGCAGACTCGTTACCGTGGAGGTCAAAGACGGCTGAATAAACGACGACCTCTCGACCTCTCGACTGATCTATGTGTAGCACTACTGAAACTTACCGCTGTAACCATCCTGCACTACAACGAGGACACTCTGACCCCGGGAGGGGGAGGGGGGCGGGGCGTCGGGGAAAACGCCCCCGACCAGGACGGTTTGTTTATAGTAGAAGAAGAAGTCACTGGTTGTTAAAACGCTTTCTGCCAAATCCTCTCTGTCCTCACACACACACACACACACACACACACACACACACACACACACACACACACACACACATGTTTAAGTAGAGCGTACTGAATGTCAGATAAACTGCCAAACACCACGACCGCTTCAACACTTCTTCCACTGCACTCGTCTCCGTCGGTCACGCTGAAACACGGAGCGACCACGTTTACATCTCCATCGCCTCCGGAGGTCAGAGCGCCGCAGCAGCGGGCGTGTGACGGCGTGTGATGTGTGGAGTTCACTTCCTGTAGAGTTTAGTAACAGCGGGATGGGAACTCATGCTTTTGGTGTATTGATGCGTTTCAGCACGGGATTCAAACCCGCCATGCTCCACTTTTTTCTCACTGCGAACGACAAAAATTAAATGATAAAGAAAAAAAAACCAATAAGTGTCCATTCCGTCATCTGTCGTCGACATGTTGCCTTACTTGAATCTTGTTCTTTCTGATCTCAGACCATCGTGTACAGAGCTGCTTCACCACACTTTAAACATTAAACCCTGCAGACCCCCTCAGACCCTCAGACCCCATAGACCCCCACAGACCCCTCAGACCCCCTCAGACCCCACAGACCCCCTCAGACCCCTCAGACCCCTGCAGCAGAGTCCTCCTCTTGACTGATGCGGATCAGTTCTCAGACTTCTCCCCGATCTCTACATTGGTTTGGGTTTGTTGTTTGCTGATGATCACTTCCTGTTCTCTCCCCGACTTTAAACATCTCGACCAATGAGAGGAAGACTAATCTTCTTCTGAAGCCTTTTTCCACATGCACTCCTGGAAGTTTCTAGACATACGTTCAGGAGAGACGGGACTTTCCAGTCTGACCCTCTGTAAAATAGATGAACGGCGCTCCCAGAGTGCGGCGCCATAATGACAGTTTTTGTCTTCTTGTAATTGGACGTTTTCAAAGTTTCAACAAACGAGCCAAAGAGCGTTGAGCAGCTTCTTTTTTTTGTCATGACCCTCCCGCTCGCCTGTGAGTACTCCTGCTCGGTCTCACATCTGCTCACCCTGATTGTTTTTTTTTAATGGGGGGGGGGGGGGGGAACAGTCTGGTTTACGTCGGGGGTGAATCACTCGCCGCCGTGTCGGAGAGTTTCAGGAGTTTTTTTGCCCAAAGAGCGTTGAGCAGCTTCTTTTTTTTGTCATGACCCCCCGCTCGCCTGAGTACTTCCTGCTCGGTCTCACATCTGCTCACCCTGATTGTTTTTTTTAATGGGGGGGGGGGGGGGGAACAGTCTGGTTTACGTCGGGTGAATCACTCGCCCGCCGTGTCGCAGAGTTTCAGGAGTTTTTTTGCGCGTGTGAAAAACAGTGGATGATGATGATGTCACTCCATGTGGTCGGACTGTGATGTCATGAACTGTGAAATAAGTGAAACTCACCTTCTGGTGCTTCCTGGGGTTATCACGTGCATCTTTGTTTACATCTTTTTTTTTTGTTGTTCTGCATTCCACGTCTGACGTTGTTTAATTAATAATAAATTAATGAAGAATTCTCATTGTTAAAAAAACGGATGGAGTTTGACCTCCTGGTGCCCGCTGTGTGCGACGCAAACCGAGGGCGTCGGCTCGTCTGGTGTTTAACTTGAACTAAGACGCTGAAGCGTGTTGAGCACATTGTGCCAGTGGAGCTGTGGGAGCTGTGGGAGCTGCTGTGGAGAGGATGAAGAGCTGCTGTGTTTCAAAAACCAGAATCAGGGTGTTTTTGTTTGCTTCATCTTCCTTTCCAAACCGTCGGACATGAACTTTGTCCTCTTCCTGGTTTTCACCCCGCTGTCTTTTCTTTTCGCTGCCTTTAAAGCCACAGACGGACGGACGCCTCTGTGTGATTTTCTTCTTCTTCGCTGGCTGCTGTAGCATGTAGCTCGTTTGCTTCTTCTTTCCTCCACTCGCTTCCTTTCTGTAAAGCATCAACTCCATTATTCTCTGAGGAGGAGTGTGATTTTGGTATTTTGTTTTCTGGGTGCGAGATTTTTGGAAAGTTCAAACCATGGACTGTATATGAAATATGGACAACACTTCTCCGTCTTTATGTGAGTTACAATGTGAAGCCAAAATCCCCCTGACGTATTGCACTGGTGATCTAAGTTGGTGCAGAGATGTGTTCATTTTTATGATGCTTGAGTTTTATCTGACGGAGTGAGAGAGTTTAAAAAGTTCCCGCGCTGAGTGAGAGAGAAACCATTCTTCTTATTTATTGCGATGATGTCAGACCTTTTAGCGGCAACGATCAAACTGCGATTTATTGTGCAGAACGTGAAGAACGTGAAGAACGCTGCAGGAGCCGCATTCCTCAACAGAGCGGTCAGTCGTTTAATCCGCTCCTGGACCTGAATCAGCGTGAGAAGAAAACATGTTTTGCCGTGTTTTTTTTTTTAGTTTTGAAGTTTCCTCACATGTCGAGGCGCCGCTGGCCTAGTGGTTAATTCACGCGCTTCATGTACGGAGGCTAAAGTCTTCAAGGTGACCCTGGTTCATTCAACCTGTGGATATGTCATCCCTCTCTTTCTCACTCCCCCCAATTTCCCTCTCTATCCACTTCCTGTCTCTCGTGTTAAGCCCACGTTTCCCCACTTCCTGTCTGTGACCATTAAAGGAGGCGGGGTTAATGACCTGTGCTGCAGCCAGTCAGCAGGGGGAGCTCTAAATCTTTTGGCTTCTCTCTTGAGGAGCTCTCGTGCTGTCCATTCTTCATACAGTCGATGGTTCAAACCCGTCTTCAGAGAGTTGGGAGGGCGATGTTTTCTCTCCGTCTTTTCATCCTCAAAACGTAAACAGGAAGTGAGAACTGCTCTCGCTCGATCTGACAGGATATGAAGCACATGATGCTATGTACAATTTTCTGTGTATGTGTATATTATTCAGATTGAACCCATTATTCTTATTATTCTGATGAGACGTTTGTTTTACAGCCAAAGCATGTAACATGTTGCTTTAAGCCTTCTGAGCGGGCGACACCAGACTTGACTGTACGATGTCTACATTTCCACAGTGGCCTGTTATTGAAATATTAAAAAGAAGAACTAATAAAGTTATGATTTGTAGCCTGATTCCCTCTGTACAGCTGTCATGACTTCTATCAGAATATATAAATATGGGCGTACATGCAGAATTTATTGAACACACTGGAGTTCTAAGGAGAAGTCCCGCGGATGCTTGGAGGCGTAAATGTACGACATGCTGAGTGTGATATTGTACCTTTTTGATTTCTTTTTTTAATGCTTTACTTTTGTTGCTTTCAGACGACTGTATAGTGATGTATTAAACTTTGCAAGCAGTACCATAGAAACATTGTGGCTTTAATTTATTTTTGACTGCAGTACTTCCTGTTGGATGTTAAAAGATAAATCTAAAGATATTCTTTAATTTCTATTGATAATAAATCCTAAAAAACACAAAAAACTAACGATTCATTTAGGATTAAGTTGCCGTAGAGTTACACACGGCGATGGCTGTCAGCATTTCCATCCTGGCCTGAAGTCAGGGGAACATGATGGTTCTCTGGCTGCATTGCAAATGGATTCATTGATTAACGATGGTAAGGAGACGAGCGCGGGTGGAAGAGCGCATTCAAATATGCTCAATTTTAAAACAAGACAGATTTTAAAAGCCATCGCGGAGATCTTCCAAGAGTCGATCTCGACGCAGGTTGAATGAAACAGGATGAAAATATAAACAGTGGGCCAGCATGCCTTCATTATGTGAAGATGATTTAAATTTTATGAAGAAGACATTAACACAATGACAAAAGGTTTTCTCACTTCTGAGATTGTGTTTCATAAACAGTGGAAAATTCGATTAAATAAGAGGTCTAATAAAGAGTAAAAGAGCTCAACAGTGACAGCATTTTTTATTTTTTTGGGTGGCTCTAGTTCTGGAACCAAACTGTTGAGTCCTGTTTACTACTAACAATAGTAGTTTCAGATGTCCCCCATCAACAGTCACATTTTAATTTAATTTTGGTATATTTTAAAATAATAATACATTTTATAAGTCTCTTAGCACAGGAGAGAATCATCATCCTGAGAGCCACATTTAGACTCAATATTAAAGGATCAATCAGTGAGATGTGTAGAGAGTGAAATGATAAAGGTATCTTACTCTCTGATCATTAAGGAAACATGCTATGTTGAAGTGCTGGCTTCTCTGACAACAATGCAGCAGCCAGTATGTCCTCCTTCTAACTTTAGATTCTGCTCCTGAATGCTCTGGATTTGTTTGGACCAGAGAAGGTAGGCATGCCCACACTGCCGTTTTGGACGCCCCTCGGTTTGTCAGATATGAGAGCAGTTATCAGGTCAACAGGTGTTGCAGTGATGGAAGCGGGCAAGAGAAGTGGTTCAGATAGAAGTGATTGTACCCGACCTAAAAAGCCTCTGCATGTTTCTAATAAGCTCCACGAGCAGAAACGTGCTCAAACTAGGATCAATATTGGAGATGCTTTTGAAAAATGGAGAGAGGTTAGAACACAGAAAGGTTTACAGACCCATGCAGAGCTGGATAAACACTGAAGCTTCAGAGTCCACCACATGGTGACCTGAGTGAGCATCCACTCTAGAGAGGAGGGGGGGGGGAGACAGCTCTCTATAATGTTTATAATTTAGACTGCAGTACCCATTTTAACCACTAGGTGTCAGAGTTACATATACTTTAGTGAGGTGAATTGCTTTTGTATGGAAGAGGAGAAAAGCTGTGCATGTATTGATTTAATAAACACTTAACGCAGACTCATCAAAGACTCACAAAGCACCAACAGCTCTGCAGTTTGTCATCAGATTTATTCTTCAATCAGAAACACTCCACTTCCCAGAATGTTTGATTTGACAATAGAAAAAATTACAGACATTCGTCTCATGGAAAAATAGATCTCTCAGTGAATAAAGAAGCAATCGTATAATCTTCAGTGTGCAAGAAATAAAAAGAAAACAAAATAACAGATTTCCCTTCACCAGAAACGTTTCGACAGTACAGACGACGAGAGTACTGAAGCAGCAGGTTCAAGACACGGACAGAAACTCAGCAGTGAGACAAAAAAACAACAAACGTCAGGTCTGTCTTCATCTGGATGAATCTAAGCTCCTCCCCTTTAGTGACTGATGAGGAGGAGGTCACACTGTTCATGTTTTTCTTTGAGCCTCAGGTAGATGTCAAAGTCTCTTGTGACTGATGACGGCGAGGAAACTTTTTTTTCCCAGCATGCTGCAAATAAAAAATCAGTGGCTGCACCGCCATGTTCACACCAGCAGGGGGCAGCACAGTCAAGGCACATCAGACGAGGAGCAGCTCAAACAAATGAGACTGCATCGAAAAACTAAAAGTTCAGAGGGGTGTGCAAAGAAAATCCACATCAGCTGCTCCTCTTTTTGTTTCTTCTTCATGACTGAATGATTGAACATCTTAAGGCCCCTCGAGGTTTCTGGAAATGAAACTCAGCAGGAACAGCCTCTTTGGTTCAAACGATACAAAGATCACAAGAAGACATACAGTACAGATCACACGGCCCCACACAGGGCTCATACGACTTTATTCCTTTCAAATAACAGCAAAGCAAAGTTTTTTTTAAAAAGCCGGTTTTCAAGTAAAGTCGTCAGCGTCTGTGCTCGTCCTGAACGAGTGAAAAAGTGATTTAAACAAACAAAATGAGACAGGAGGTCAAACTCACGGCGTCAAATGTGGAATGTGCAAAAAAAAAAAAGAGGTTTTTATGAGGAGACTAAACGTCGTCAGTTAAATCAAACCTGTCTTGTAACTCGGTCTGATTTGTACCCTCGCTGTGTTGTTTTGTTTTTCTTCCACCATGAGGAGGAGGAGTCAGCGTCAGGACAGTTTGCTAATGCTCCCAGATGATTTGTTGTGGTGAGGCGGGAGAATGAGGGCGCCCTGTCAGGAACACAACGCTGCCTCCCTCATGCAGCATTTAACACATCAATATCCACCCCCCCCCCCCCCCTCCCTCTCTCCACCCTCCTCCACCCCCCGCTCTCTGAGGACTCAATAACGAGCTCCTTTAACCAGCGTCCACCTCCTTTAAGGCATGACTTACTCTCACTTTCTCTTTGACTCAGACCGTCTGGTTTTATATTTTTTACTCCAAACGTCTGAAGCGATTTGGATCACAATTAAAAGACTTTTCTAGGCCAGGATCCTCGTTCAGCATCTCCTCTTTGTGACTTAAAGCTCGATGGTAAGGACACCTCGGTGATGATCGGTAATAACGCTGCAACATGTGTGCGCGTCTGAAAAGCAGCTCGGGTCGGAGACGATCGCTCTGCAGGGCTGAAAGCAGCTGGATGGATGGAGGAGGAGGATGGAGCTGAACAGTTTTCATCAGTCTGTGACTTATGAAGGCTGCTCTCTCTCAGCTGGTCGGTGTCCTCCTCGTTTAGTGAAGTGGTTCTCAACGGGTGGGTCAGGGAGCTGTTATCGACGGGTAGCGAATATGTGACTCTAAAATAGTCTATGAAGCGCTTTTTAAAGGAAGGATGTGCGACACTTAAATCATAAATCCAGTCTGTCCTGTGTAAATGTGTCTCTGAGTCCTGACTGTCTACAATGAGGGAGAAGCTCGAGTCTCGCTGGCTGTGTTGTTGTCAGAGCCGTGTTTACATGGACGGGACGGCCGGCTCCTCCCCTTGTGTATAAAAGCTGTTTTAGTCAAGAACTAGAGAGAAGAAGAAGAACATACTCACTGATTATTTGGATGTTAGTAAGAGTTTTTAGATCACGCTCATTCTGTGTCAGTTTACATGAAATGTGAAGCTACGAGCTAACTAAAGAGCGCTAACATTAGCATGCTAACACAACAATGTGAAGCTACGAGCTAACTAAAGAGCGCTAACATTAGCATGCTAACACAACAATGCAGGAAACAGGTGATTGCAGCTCGAGCCGAGGACGATTTAGTAAACTGCTTGTGCTAAACTTCTTTGTGCAAAACGCGAGGGGAGGGGAGAGTTGGAGGCGTGGCCTAACAGAAGTTTGTTTTGGTTTCCTGTTGGTGCTCATCTACTGGATCAAAAAAGTCGCTCATTCTTCTGTCACATGTTTTGCACCGTCTAATTAAATAAATCTGATTAGTTTGGTTTGCGACCAACTCGACCTGAGGGGAACCGGCTGAGAACCACTTCATCTCAAAGAGGGAGAACGAGGATGTGTTACAATAAGAAACAGATTTGAATCTGAATCTGAGAGAGAAATTAAGGTGACGTGATTCGCTGAGAAAACTCGACTCGTTCAGGCGTCCGCTCTGACTCCGTGACGATCAGCCTCGGATCAGAAACCTTTAGGAGCCTCTCAAACATCTTTGATTTGATATGAAAAATAAACATGATCGACCGTCCGCCTGACGTGATTCCTCGCTGACGCCGCGCTCTCCTCGCTCCGCTGCGAGCTTCATGTTCGAGGTCAGACGCTCCGTTGGACCAGACAAAGATCTCCCTGATTGATAAACAGACGCAAAGCAAGACGACCCGAAGTGTAAACCACACACACACACACACACACACACACACACACACACACACACACACACACATTTCCAAAAGTCTTTTTTTCATGAAGCTGATTTTATATTTCAGATTCATTTTTAAATATATAAATATAAAGTTATGATGTTCGACGTCTGTACTAAACCTCGGCGGAGATTCACAGCTGTCGGCTCTGAACGAGACGCTACGAGAACTTCTCGAGACTCGGCCCGAGCCTGACGACGTATCAGAGCAGAGCGTGGAGCAGAGCTGTAGGACACGCCCACCAGGAGCGCCTTAAAGAGACAGCAGCGTAAATGAAGCGTCTCAGGGAGCGGCTGAATTTATTTCAGGCCGGTGTCAGATAAACGGAGTGTTTTACTTTATCTCAGGTTATTTTCACTGACTAGACTAAACAGCCAATCACAGAGCTGCGTCTGAAATCTTTGTCTTGATTGACAGATAAACACCAACATGAAAAGAAGGACACTTTGAAATATGACAACCTCCCTAACGGTGAACATGACCCAGATATTACATGACGGGGGGTTGTAGTCAAGACCACTCAAGACCCACCTAACTGAGACCCAGACATACCGAGACTAGAGTGCTCCAGGCTGAGACACTTAGGGATCGAGACTGAGTCAAGACCAAGACCAAGACCAAGACCAAGACCATGACCAAGACCAAGACCATGACCAAGACCAAGACCATGGCCATGACAAGACCAAGACAAGACCAATACCATGACCATGACCAAGACCATGACCAAGACCATAACCAATACCATGACCATGACCAAACCAATACCAATACCATGACCAAGACCAAGACCAAGACCAATACCATGACCAAGACCATGACCAAGACCAAGACTACCAATACCATGACCAAGACCAAGACCAAGACCAAGACCAAGACCGAGACCAAGACCGAGACCATGACCAAGACCATGACCAAGACCATAACCAATACCATGACCATGACATGACCAAGACAATACCAATACCATGACCAAGACAAGACCAAGACCAAGACCAAGACCAATACCATGACCAAGACCAAGACCAAGACCATGACCAAGACCGAGACCGAGACCAAGACAAGACCAAGACCAAGACCATGACCAAGACGAGACCAAGACCGAGACCATGACCAAGACCAAGACCAAAAAGATGAGACCAGAACTATCACTGAATAATCATCATCTTGTGTTGGGGGTAGTGTGAGGGAGTTGTGGTCTAGGCCGGTCTTGTTTCCGCTTTATGAATAAATTAATGATTTTTTCGGGTTTGTTTACTTCCTGTTCTGGTCGTTTTTAATGTCGTTATGTGTTGACACTTGGTCTCTTAACGGGTCTCGCTCGTTTTAATCCAGAACTTCTCTGTTTTCTCTGTGCAATGTTTTGAGGTTGATGTCGAGAGTTAACGCCGTCCTTCCTGTTCCCGCCCTGCGCTACATTTTTAAAGCTGAAGCGTCTTCATTCGGCCGTGTCGACGTGCGTTCAGTTCATCCGGTGATTAATCTGGCGAGTCCTCGTGCACCTCGGCCTGCAGCGGCCCGTACTCCACCACCTCGCCGTCCAGCGTGATGATCCTTGGGGAGAACGTCCAGCCTGAGCGCCCGCACCTTCACGTACACCAGATGCTGACAGATGGTCCCCAGGTGTTCGCCTTTCTCCATCGCCAGGAAGAGCTTCAGCAGCGCCGCGCGGGAGATCCCGCTCGGACGTAGAACAGGTGGATGACCCCGTCGTCCGGGGCGGCGCCCGGTGCTGCCAGCAGGTCCTCGGCCAGGTGGGAGTGGTACATAGCCAGCATGAGCACAAAGTCCTCCTCCTGAACCAGCACCCAGTCCCCGGGCAGCTGCTGGTCCAGAGGCGGCAGCAGGGAGTCCGGCGGGCCGCGGGGCGCCTTGTGGGGACTTCTGGACGGCGTGCTCTCTGTCCGCCGCGCTTTGAGGGAGTTGTTGGAGTGGCAGGAGTTGTGGAAGGTGTTCTGTCCGACAGAGTCTCTGGACCTGAGCGTCTGATTATTGCAGTGCAGGGTCACCTCGTTCCTCAGAGTCTCCTGGTCGGGGGCGGGCAGGTACGCCAGCCGGCCCCTGTAGACCCGGAGGGACGCCAACCGCACCAGCGTGCCCACGGTGAACCGCGCCGCTCCCACGTGGCGGTACTTCTCGCTCTCGATGTCCACGTCCGCCACGAAGCCCCAGGCGAGGGAGAGGAAGGAGAAGAGGCGAGGGCCAGAGGAGAGCTGGACCGAGACCAGGTCCATGCGGGACACCAGACCTTTACAGAGCAGGAAACCGCAGCTGAGCAGGAGCTCCTCGCTGGACACCGGAGACGATCTGCGGGGAGGAGAAGCACAAGAGACAGGATCGTCAGGTTAGACTGAGGGACTCGTAACCATAGTAACCACAGGCATGAAGGAGTTCGTGCTAGCGTTGCGTTACAACTGCGCTCGCTTCTGACTGTTTTCGGCGTCGTTTCTTAACTTCAGACGAGTCGGTCAGTCTGAATTTTAATAAATCCTGAGTTACTCTGCGTCTCCCACCCGTATGTTCCCTCGTTATTTCTTCGAGGATGAAGCATTCAGCCTCTCCAGCGGAGGAGACGCAGATAAAAAAATCTTCTTCTAAAATAAGAGTGGAGAGTGCACTTCATATTTCTGGGGGAGGAAGTGGGTCGAGGCTTTAAGGGGAGAGTTATATAACACCGGGGTAACTGTGACCTTACTGTGTAATCATAAAAACACAGAGGGAAGGGAGGGGGGGGGGGCAAAGAGAGAGATAAAGGCAGAGGGGGGGCTCAGGGAGAAATGTGTTGGAGGTGGGACAGAATCAGACACGACAGGAGCGCTCAGACGACAAAGACGACCCCATCTGTGAGAGTGGAGACCGGGGTCGAAGGTCACACACACACACACACACACACACACCCTCAGATATGCCGGCTGTTTCCGCCCACAGCCAATCACAGTGAAGACAGAGCGTCTCACATCTCCATATTCATCACCATCCTGTATTTATTCACCAGTCACTCTGGTTTCTTTAAGTTCATTGGAAAGTGATTTTTCTTTTAAAGTGACATCAGCTAATTTGTAATATCTGTAATCTACACAGGAGGAGACTACCCCCCCCCCCCCCCTCGTCAAAGTGTCACACCTGTCTCTTCAGAAGGTGACGTTCCAGCTCATCCTGACGTTTGTTTACAGAAACACATTAAAGCCTCACTCAGCGAACCTGTTCACTGCATCACATAATAACAGATTCATTCTAGCGCTGCTCGTTTGATCCACGCAGACTCAGTGAACCCCACATTCAGCCGGATAATACAGGAGAGAGGGGGGAGAGAGAGAGGGGGGAGAGAGAGAGAGGGAGAGGGGAGAGAGGGGGGAGAGAGAGGGGGGAGAGAGAGAGAGGGGGGAAGAGAGAGAGAGAGGGGGGGAGAGAGAGGGGAGAGAGAGAGAGAGAGAGACAGAGAGAGAGAGAGCGACAGAGAGAGAGAGAGAGAGAGGGGAGAGGGGGGGAGAGAGGGGGGAGAGAGAGAGAGAGGGGAGAGGGGGAGAGGGGGGGAGAGAGAGAGAGAGAGACAGAGAGAGAGAGAGAGAGAGGGGGAGAGAGAGAGAGAGAGACAGAGAGAGAGAGAGAGAGAGAGAGAGAGAGAGGGAGAGAGGAGAGAGAGAGAGGGGGGGAGAGAGAGAGAGAGAGAGAGAGAGAGGGAGAGAGAGAGAGAGAGAGACAGAGAGGGGGGAGGGAGAGAGAGACAGAGAGGGGGGAGAGGGAGACAGAGAGAGAGAGAGAGAGAGAGAGAGAGAGATATTTTCTGGACGCCCCGGGGATGTGAGAGGAAACAATACTCGGTCTGGTCCCTTCCTCTCATTGTGGACTGTGTTCTGGTTGAAGGTTCATTGTTTGGGGAGAAGCTGATTGGCAGCTGCAGACAGAAAGATGAATGAATGTGACCGTCTGATGACGCCGTCCGCCGCCATGTCGCTGTGACAGCTTCAACCCTCGTAACTACGACCAAGTCTTCCTTTATTTTACTCGGGGACGGATTAAAGGTTAAAAAAAGACAAAAAAAAAAAGCAGTGACATTTAGAAATAAATAATAAAAGGGCGGCAGAGAGCTAAAGGTGACCTACAAACAACACGAGCAGCTCGGAAAAAAAGCTCTTAAGATATGTTTGAATTTACCCACATGACCCCAAGTGACCTCAGAGCACAACAGGCAGAAACACAAACATCTGTACGCGGAGCTGTCACAGGGCGTGTCCTCACAAAAAAGTCATCATCATTTAAAGTCAGAGAAATCCTTAATTTTATAGTTTTAAAGGTCCCATATTCTTCTTTTTCTGGTTTTATCTGTTCTTTAGTGTGTTTTCCAAGTGTCCTGTGCATGTTTAGGCACATCTATGTGCAAAGATTCGTAAACGTGTCTTCTCCTACGTCCTCCTGTTAGCTGTAGCATTAGCTGCATGTAACGCTCGGTCCTAGCCCCCCTCGATATAAAATTTGTCAGTGCGACGTCATTGTCAGTGTGATGTCACTGATCTAAGCCCATTGGCTCGTTGTGGCCCAGCAGCTCATGTTGAAATTTCCGAGACGCGTGCTGAGTAACTGACCAATAACGACAGAGTGGATCGGCAGACCAATCAGAGCAGACTTGGCCCACGTGGGGTCTAACAGTGTGGGCTCAACAGAGTGTAGCTGACGGACTCAGAGCGTAGAGGGAGCAAGGAGGAGCAGTTCATGAAAACAGACACTTTTTTTAACTTTAGCTATTGTGAACGTACAAAAGTAGGAACATAGATTAAATCTACGAACCCCAAAAAGGGCAGAATATGGACTCTTTAACGGCCGAAATGTTTATCATTGCCGTGGAAACAGTGGATGTTACATCAAAGACCGCTACATAAGGAAGCAGCAGAAGTTCCTCCAGCTCGCTCGTTGTGTTGTTTGTCTCTTTGTTGGTCGGTCGTACCTCTTCCTCCTCTCTGCTCTTTGTTCTGCTTGATTAAACTCCAAACACTCACACGAGCTCGTCGTTCATGATTTATAGATGAGAGGAGTGTGTGTTAACTCTGAGAGGCCGACGTGTGTGTGTGTGTGTGTCTGAAGCTCACTGCTACAAAAAGATGATCATGTTTATGTTCACTTAAAGAAGTCACTAAATGAAACTCGATGACACTCTCAGCCCGGCGGCTCAGAGCTCTATGTGACCTTACTGGTCTCACTGGTTTCTGTGAGGTGATCATGCAGTACTGATGCTTCAGTGCAGCTTTGTCAACAGAAACAGTTAGAACAGTTCCACAGCAGATCGACTAACAGACACAGGAAGTCTTAAAAAGTCGGCGCACTCTGAGAGATTTTTATTCCAGACATGAACTGAGAGTCATAACGACCGCAGCAGAGCGTTTTTTTAATTATTATTGAGGATTCAGAGTGTGTCTCACCTGGAGTAGTGATGTATCGACGCTGCCAAAGCGTTTCCTGATCCACCAGGAAGGATACCCAGCGGGGTCCGGATGGCGTCCTCCCAGTCCTCTCTCTCCAGCAGACCGTTAATCACCTGTCAGACACAGAGAGACACGTTCAAACACACAGACGGGAATACATGAAAACTAGTGAGGTGTGTCTGTCCCTGTACCTCAAACAAGAGTCCATCCCCCGACATGATGACCAAAGCGTCCCACTGCGACAGGTCGGCCTCCCTCACCAGCTCCCGGGCGTGGTTCTGATGCTCTGAAGCACACACACACACACACACACACACACCACACACACACACACACACACACACACACACACACACATCTTAGATATCTTAGATTGAGATATGTGAGAGCCAAGAAAAATGAAACCAATGAAAAGATGGAAAAAACTGCAGTTCCTCAAATGTCCACTAGAGGCTCCACATTAGGTCCCGTTTAAAATGTCTCTGAGACTACGTCCATGATTCAAACTGTCCGTGGTGCCTGCAGGTCGGTGTTTCCTGTATGAGAGACGTATGAAGTGTGATACTCTGAGCGGAGGCAGGAAGCAGAAATTGCTCTTTTAACTGCAATACTCAGAGGTCAGAGGTCACGGTCAGCCCTAATGGAGTTGTGAAATGCATTTTGTTTTTCTCACTCAAGGACGTTTTTTTGAAGGCTTCTGCTCTCAGGAGCTCGAGTTACACATGAATAGGGTTGTCATGACAACAGACTTTAAAACTTAGAAGTAATACTGGTAAAAAAAAATCAAACCATACTGATGCCGGTTTGTGAGGCCGTCCATGAAGGGGGGATAGAGGGGGACGCAGCACTCAAAATATTGCCAATGAATTGAATTTGTGCAATTAAGAATGTTTTTTTTTTTCAGACTGCTTTTCTGCAACATTCAGACTGAAGGCGAAACGTCACAGGGGCGTAAATATTGCGGCTTGAAACGGCGGTCTGAAGATGGCTACTCTCTCTTTTGAAGTTTTTAAGCTTGGATACTTTTAGATAGATCCTTAAAACAAGGGAGAGAGCATCGTTTTAAAACACATGGTATCGACATGAGTCAGAGTATGACGACCTCACACCTGACAGTGAAACGTCTGTCTTCTTTAAATCATGAACACAACAGGACTTCAGGTATCAGGAGACCAACGAGTCCTGGTCCCCCTTGTAGTCCAGTTTGGAGAACTGAAGTCTCACCGTGGGAGGGAAAGCTGATCTATGGTCTTAAATGAAGCGTCTAGCACGCTGCCAATTAGATTAGAACAATTTAATTACCCAGCAGCACTCTGTCAGATTAATGATCTGATGGAGTGGGACGCTGGTAACAGCCGGCTTCGATGACCGATAGTCTGTTTCACTAGCTGAGAGGGGTAGTAAAGAGGTCACACAGGGATCGTGTGGAGTCAGACAAGAAGCCGGAGAGGGCCGACGGAGCGCTCTGAAGTGTGAAGCAAAGTCAGTCAAGTGTAGCCGACTGTCACAACTCACTCCACACCTTCACCTGCCGAGGCTCTGCAACACTGCAGGCTTTAACCATCTTTCAAAGCAGCTCTCTTTATGGTCTCTTATATTTTAAAACAACTATCAGTCTTTATCTCTGACCGAGACCACTTAATTACCACATAACAGGAAGTTAACGTCCCAGCTTTAAAGGTGACATACTCTCCTCCTCTTCTTCAGTGTAAATAAGTGTCAGAGCTCCTCAAAACATGTGTGTTTCTTGTTCTAAATCCACTCTGATCCTGTATTTGATCATGTCTATAAACCCCTCTATTTCAGCCCTGCTCAGAACAGGCTATTTCTGTTACTGTACCTTTAAATATGTAAATGAGCTGTGTCTGACCACGCCCCCTCTCTGGAAGGACTTGGGGTGTACTCTGTGCTTTCTCGCTCCATGTCCTATTGTTTACGGTGAGAAGGCAGACTCAGAGGGCAGAACAAACACCTAGCTGTGGGAGTGTCACCCACCTGGGGGAGGGGTTACTGCCCTTTGTGATGTCATGAAGGGAAAATCTCCAAACGGCCTGTTTGAGCACACATTTTCTGAAAAGTGGAGCAGGTAAAAGACGGAGAGGATGGACTATGTAAAGTGCCAAACTGCCTAACAGCACTTCTCTTCTCCCACGCCTTCGAATAAAAGACAAATATGGAACAACCTATCAGAGGACAGACTGATCACTTCTGCAAATACATGTTTTATAAAAAGCCCTCATATCTGGGGCGCCGATAGCTTAACCTTTAGTGCATGCGCCCCTTGTACTGAGGGTTAAGTCCTCGAGAGCAGGCATCAGGGTTCAAATCCCTGAGAGTTTCTGACTCTATCCACTGTCCTGTCTCTACAATAAAGGCATAAAAAGCCCAAAATAATCTTTAAAGAAGCCCTCATATCAGAGATTTATTAAGAAAAAATCAGCTCCTGCCCCATGCTGTAAGGACACTGTCCTTACTGGACTAATACCTTGTTGCTCCAGTCATAATCCATTTGTATCTGAGCCGACTATTCCTGCAGCTGATATTTTTTTGACCAGACTGATCTGAACCATCAGGTTATCACAACGCAGCGAGATCAAAGGGCCGACCTGTTGTTTACAGCGTGCAGGTGCTCATCCTAATTATTTCTTAACTGCTGCAAACCTTGACAGAAAAACAGAAGGTGTACCCCAAGGACGCTGTTAACAGCAGTGGGTTAATTATGCATACAGAGCGTATTATTATCCACACACGCTGAGGCAGAGATTTGAGAATTTTCTTCACTGAGATGATAAACAAAGAGACGCCGTGTCCTGGTGTTAAAGATTAAAGGAGCAATCAGTGAAATCATAAAGTGAGCTTACTATCTGGTCAGACATTAAGGAAACATGCTATGTTGAAGTGCTGGCTTCTCTGACAACAATGCAGCAGCCAGTATGTCCTCCTGAATGCTCTGGATTTGTTTGGACCAGAGAAGGTAGGTGGTTTTAAGGCGACCCCCATACGGCCGTTTTGGACGCCCCTCGGTTTGTCAGATATGAGAGCAGTTATCAGGTCAACAGGTGTTGCAGCGATGGAAGCGGGCAAGAGAAGTGGTTCAGATAGAAGTGATTGTACCCGACCTAAAAAGCCTCTGCATGTTTCTAATAAGCTCCACGAGCAGAAACGTGCTCAAACTAGGATCAATATTGGAGATGCTTTTGAAAAATGGAGAGAGGTTAGAACACAGAAAGGTTTACAGACCCATGCAGAGCTGGATAAACACTGAAGCTACAGAGTCCACCACATGGTGACCTGAGTGAGCATGGACTCTAGAGAGGAGGGGGGGGGGGAGACAGCTCTCTATGATGTTTAGAATTTGGACTGCAGTACCCATTTTAAACACTAGGTGTCAGAGTAACATACTGCTCCTTTAATATTTAATAATCCTAAAAAGCTCACATGTATAAAAATCTACTGATCAACCTGCTTGGTGTATATCGTGTCTTGTACTACAGAAATGTGAGACTAGAGACTTGGTTATGAAACCTGTTGAAGTTAGCACACTATAATTCTGCTCAACTTCAGACCCCTGAGAAGCTGCTCTCTCCCTGACCTCTGCACGTTTTGTGAAGCCGTAACAGAAAAACCCCAAATCCAATATTCATGTTCCACGTCTCAGTTTACAACATCACTCTGCCTCTCACAGACCAGGATGTAATTATTCCTTTTATGCGTCTGTGTAAATAAAAACCACGTTCTCCACTTTAAAGCTGCCATTGTGTAACTTTACAACACAAGAGAAGAACAATGCAGTAATCACACACACACACACACACACACACACACACACACACACACACACACACACACACAGTTCTCTGGAGAGGGATCTGATTTCTCGTCCTCTCTTCCACAAACTCTGCAGGATAAAAGAATCAATTCCTCTTTATCAGTCCAGTCACATCACATTTCCTCATCTATGCAGAGGCTGTAAACTAAGGTAGGAAGAGCTGAGAGTTGTTTTAGTATGCGGCCCTCCTCATCACTGAGGGATGTTGGGACGGAGGTAAGACAGAGACAGAGAGAGGCTGTTGTGATTTTTTTGTCTGCTGGTGCAGAGGACAGGAGAGGAGGGTAACAGGAGGAGAGAGGAGGCGTAGTGCAGCAGCAGTTTTGTCCAGCTGAGTCTCTCCCTGCGGGGCAGAGTCTGTGGACTGTGACTAACTCTTTACAGTCATGCAGATCTCTGCTTCATTACTGGCCTCTGGTCTCCGCCCGAGGAGGGACAGGGGATGCACGTTTTTAAAGAAGAAGTGAGACTGCAGGTCGGAGTTAAACTGGTGCATTGTATACACCTAGAGGTAACATCACAACCACTAGGGGGCGCATCAGGCCAAAAAGTTATTCTAGAAAAATCCTAAACTACGTAAAGCACGGACGTAGTCTCAGTGGGGTCACCCGATGGTTTCAGGAGAGGCGTTCTGAAGCCAGAGAATGGCGGTCACCATATTGGAAATGCTGACACGACCTGATTTTATTTGGTGAATCTATAAACATAAACGAGCTATAGCGACCAAATCTGTTTGTTCTTTTACCAGGATGTAAACAGAGGTAGAGCAGCTAAGTGGCAGTTTGAATGTTGGAGTGACTTTGGGCGAGACGCTGAACCCCAAATTACTCCAGTTTCTGTATCAGCCGCGTGTGAATGTGTGTGAATGGATGAGTTAATACTGATGGACTCTTTACACAGCAGCCTCTACCATCAGTGTGTGAATGTGTGTGAATGGATGAGTTAATACTGATGGACTCTTTACACAGCAGCCTCTACCATCAGTGTGTGAATGTGTGTGAATGGATGAGTTAATACTGATGGACTCTTTACACAGCGGCCTCTACCATCAGTGTGTGAATGTGTGTGAATGGATGAGTTAATACTGATGGACTCTTTACACAGCGGCCTCTACCATCAGGGTGTGAATGTGTGTGAATGGATGAGTTAATACTGATGAACTCTTTACTCAGCGGCCTCTACCATCAGGGTGTGAATGTGTGTGAATGGATGAGTTAATACTGATGGACTCTTTACTCAGCGGCCTCTACCATCAGGGTGTGAATGTGTGTGAATGGATGAGTTAATACTGATGGACTCTTTACACAGCGGCCTCTACCATCAGGGTGTGAATGTGTGTGAATGGATGAGTTAATACTGTTGGACTCTTTACTCAGCGGCCTCTACCATCAGGGTGTGAATGTGTGTGAATGGATGAGTTAATACTGATGGACTCTTTACACAGCGGCCTCTACCATCAGGGTGTGAATGTGTGTGAATGGATGAGTTAATACTGATGGACTCTTTACACAGCGGCCTCTACCATCAGTGTGTGAATGTGTATGAATGGATGAGTTAATACTGATGGACTCTTTACTCAGCGGCCTCTACCATCAGTGTGTGAATGTGTATGAATCGATGAGTTAATACTGATGGACTCTTTACACAGCGGCCTCTACCATCAGGGTGTGAATGTGTAGGTGTGACCTGCACGAGAAAAGCCCTACAAGCTCAAGTCCATCTAACATGTTTATATATCTGCTTTTAAAATGGACATTTTAACATGGATGTTAAAGGAGACTCATTGGCGTTTAGAGCCAGCCTCAAGTGGACAGCTTAGGAACTGCTGAGTTTTTTTTAACTTTCCCATTGGCTTAATTTTACAGCACCAGAGATTGCTGCTTGGTAAAGATAATTGATCCATAATGCCTCTTTGGAAACCAGTGGTTGATGTCTTTTGTAAAGCGTCTTGAGATAACACTTGTTATGAATTGGCGCTCTACAAATAAAGATCCATTGGGATGTCGTCCATGTTTCATACAGTGTATGGTCGTCATAGAGAAACGCTATCATCGCCAAGTGCACTGCTGTCGTCACCATCTGATCTGTAACTGCGTCCGTCTGTTTTTTAATGCTGAGCAACACGTCGTGGGTTTATCAGATCTTCTGTCCTGAAATCTGCTGCCTTCTGATGTGGACCAAAACAGCCACTTTGTAAATATCAGAGCAGAACCTATGAGCTGAAAAATATCCCTAAAGCTCAGAGAAACATTAAATTCATGTTAACATTTTTACATTGTCAAATTTCAAAATGCTCCGATGAGGACGTCCTCAGTGCATGTGAAGTAACACCGGGCTCGGTCCTCATGTTTACCCTGATTCATCCCTCTAAAGATGAGAGTACATCCTGACTGCAGCACTCCTACACCCAGAAGACAGCAGGTGATGACACACAACACCGCCTCTGAGTGTGTGTGTGTGTGTGTGTGTGTGTGTGTGTGTGTGTGTGTGTGTGTGTGTGTGTGTGTGTGTGTGTGTGTGTGTGCTGTTAAAGCAGGAAACACAGTAAACACTGTGACAGCTTAGTCAGCTGCCTGAGGGCGTAACCTCACTAATGAACACACACACACACACACACACACACACACACACACACTAAGGGGAGTGCCTCAGGTGGCGATACCTAAAAGCCTCTTAAAGCCGAACCTCTGAGAATGACTTGATCATTATTTTCCATTAATCAGATAAAGACCAGCCGAGCCCGTGTGGTCGGCTCACAGCAGAATGCAGAGTCACTCGTGCGTCTTTGATTGATGCAGAGAGAACAGAGCCGGCCAGTCAAACGTCCACATCATCTCAAAGTTGTCCGGTGACATTTTCTGGATTCTCATCAGGATGAACACATAAACACTTCTAAGGATTCCTGTAAGATCTGTGTCCCCTCTGTTAACTTCTTCACTGCAGTTTATTCTCAAACCCTCGGCACAGAAAGAAGCTTCATCACAGTGCGCACGTCGTTAGATGACCCGTGAGAGCGAGCGGATTCTTGTTTTAAAAAAAGAACAAAAGACTAAAAGAGGAGGACGGAGCACAGAGGGGATATCCGTCTCCTCTGGTAAATAATGGTGAAGCACGCTGAGCATGATGAGTCGGAGCAGGAGAGGAAGACGAGCATGTTATGGTCGTTTAATTAATACTCTCTGACAGACGTCTGAGGACGCACGAGCAGCCGGGGGGGGGGGCTCCTGCCTGCGAGGAAACATTGTGCTATCTTTACTACAATGTACACACAGACACAAAAAACACACACTCTCTCACAGCAGTGCAGTCATCCTTCATCTGCCCTCCACCCCTGGCAGAGCCCGCAGCTGCCACACGGACCAGATCCAAAAATGAGTCTGCGCACAGAAGACTTCAGCCGTGCAGCTCGCAGAGACGAGGCTGTGATACATGAGACACAAATACTGTTCAGAGAGCGTCTTCTTTAATCAGAATGAGCGAGTACGCAAGGCTGTCGCGTTGTTCTAATTGATACATGTTGATATTTTAAAACGATAGATTTGAGAAGTATCAAAGCTTCAATAAAAAATCAGATCTTCAGGAATTTTTCCTAAAGCTGCCACGAGCAAAAAAGAGAGAGAGACGAGCGATGGTCCATCAAAAGTCAACATAGATTCAATGACTTTATGAGATATTTGAGACGGAATCCATCCATTATCTACAACGTTCTTCCCGTTCAGGGTCTTGGGGGAGCTGGAGCCGATCCTGGCTGTCATTGGGTGAGGAGAGAGGCCTGATACACCCCGGACTGTTCGTCTGTCAATCACAGGGCTGACATGTAGACACTCACATTCACATCTACAGGAAATGTAGAGTCACCAGTTAACATGACGAGCATGTCTTGGGACCTTCTCGATGTGAGGCGTGCTTTATCTAAAGTGTATGTTAGCAACTTCTCACCTAACCTCAGGTGGCTAAAGTAAGGACTTTCAGCCATTTCAGCCAAGTGTGGATTAATAAAAGAGCAAAAGTATTTTTTAAAGATCAGATAAAAGTCGCAGGAATATTTGAATACCCATAATGTACAACAACCTGGCAACTTCCTGTCTTATAACTCACATATTAAAAGAAGAATGTGAGACTTTTTGGTCCAGTAGGTGTCGCCCTTGAGCTCCAGCATGAAACCAAAACAAACTGCTGTTTGGCCACGCCTCCTCCATCCTGAAGCCTCCACTCTCCTCCAGAGACACACCGCCAACCCCTCTACACTCACGTTATCATGAAGGAGTTATCAATTAGAAAAAACCATAATGAAACACCATGAAGAGCAAGCGGCGGACTAAATCGTCCTCGGCTCGAGTTGTAATCACCTGTGTGCTGCCTTGTTGTGTTAGCATGCTAATGTTAGCGCTCTTTAGTTAGCTCGTAGCTTCACATGTAAACTGACACAGAATGAGCGTGATCTAAAAACTCTTACTAACATCCAAATAATCAGTGAGTATGTTCTTCTTCTTCTCTCTAGTTCTTGACTAAAACAGCTTTTATACACAAGGGGAGGAGCCGGCCGTCCCGTCCATGTAAACACGGCTCTGACAACAACACAGCCAGCGGGACTCGAGCTTCTCCCTCACTGTAGACAGTCAGGACTCAGAGACACATTTACACAGGACAGACTTTATGATTTATTTATGTGGAACATGTCGCACGTTCTTCCTTTAAGCTTTAATTAATTTGAGCATAAAGTAAACGTGGAGAATCTATTAAAAGTTATTAGAGTGCCAGTAGCACTCGTCTCCGAGGCTTCATTCAGGGCCGAGGCCGCTCGCCAGAGATTACAGCGTCGGCTTTGACTTCAGAAGT